CCTCCACACGACAGTTTAGCTCTCTTCTATACCACATGCCTACCTAAACTTCTTTTCTCGACACCGTTTTAGACATCGAGATGTCAGCCGATACAGCGTATATTTCTGCTACTCCCGCGACTTCCCGGAGGAGGTGAAGGCCACGCGGGCCATCCTGAGGGAACAACGCCTCGTCTCCCGTTACGTTGATGCGGTAAGCCAACGCCTTGACCTGTTTTCGCGATTGGCTGAACCGCAGACCTGAATCGATTAGTTACGTGGGGAGGGGGGGGCAGGGGCAGGATAGGCAGCTACTTTTTAGAATCTAGCCCGTACACTTCTTTCAGCATGTCCGTCCGAAGTTATACTTAAAATCGATTCGGTCTGGGTTTGAGGCATACCCAACTGTTAGGTATAACCTGTCGGGCTCAGTTTTTTTCCCGTAAGCTGGGTAAACTTGTTCAGTTCTGAATTTTACCATCAGCATGCGTGTTTTTTTGATAATAGCTGGTGGAGGTTGCCTTTGCAAGTAGAGCATTGGACTAACTGAAGTTGAACTCCTGGAGCTCGGGATCCGGATTATGATTGGTCACCGGTGGCGGTGGAAATTTGCCTTTTCAGCAGTTGTTTGAAGCAGAATTTTATTCACTAAGAAGCACTATTTCTCCGTATCTTAAACAAAATCAAGTCATTCCGTGGCAGTTAGACTTGCAAATCAGCAATGACCGTATTGGTACTTCCAAAGTTCCTTGTTTGTTTCGAGGAGCTGAGATATCTGCTTCGTAGTTTTATGGTGAGATCTGACGAAGCCCTGTTCCTTATTCTATTTAGAGAGGGAAGACCCCTGCAGGCACCTACCGTACGAACCGACAGTGACGTAGACTGCCCACAGTTGTCTCCCCCAGTATATTCCGAACGGCAGTATGATCACTAAAGAAACTTTATCTGACTATTCTTGTTGTAGTTGCTGATAGATTTTGATTTGAGGGAGATGCAGTCTGTAGGGGGAGCAAGAAAATAACGACTTCATATTTGTTCACGGTTACGCCAGT